AGCTTCTTTGGAAATGTTCCACACTTTCCCTGTCTTGGGAAAGCAGTCAGCTTAGATCAGGGGTCACCAACATGGTGCCCGCGGGCACCAGGACGCCCCGAAGGACCACATGAGTCGCACGCGGACCTGTTCTAAAAGTAGCACAACTCACCAGTGAGCAGCATCCAAAATTTAATTTTATCCTGTTGCTATTCTTCTTTAATCACATTTACATTTATATAGATTTGAAAATGACAATATCTAAAAAAGCATTTAAAACATGTTTATTATACATGAAGTTTAGATAAGTTTAGGAGGGCGTTTCAAACTGGTAGCCCTTCGTATGGCTCAGTACCCGTGAAGTAGCTCTCAGTTTCAAAAAGGTTGATGACCCCTGGCTTAGATGGTTGGTTGGACGGATGGATGGATGGATCATTCAAATTGAAACGAGGAATTTCAGTTAATATATCATTTGCGCGTTCATTTCAGTTGGCGTTTAATGCTGGGTATTTCTGTTTCATTTCTGACTACATCTTTTTAAATATATTTAAAAATAGTTTCTCTCACTACAGGGATGTGCGAAAATGAGTCATGTTGTAGCATGTTGGAAAGCTTTCCTTAAACTGAAGGTAATTAAAGTATGTAGCAACTTTCCGCTTTGCTACATTGTTCCCTGCAAGTATGACACAAAATCAGAGCTATAAATATGATATATATAGGCCTAATCAATTACCGCTTCTTTTATTCAAACATGATTTAATCAGATTCAATATGGATTAAAAAGAAAAGTAAATTTATAGCATTGTTTTGATCATCCAGTAATTTTTTTTCAGCCTTGCATCACGTTAAATCGTATTACATGCTGTTAAAATGCAATGTGAAGCAGCATCCCCCTGTTAATGAAACAAATTTCAAGACGTAAAACTATTTCTTAACAATCGATTATTTTACAGCCATTCCCACAAGTCTATGAAGACTATGTACATAAAAAGCGTCCAAACAACAAGGAGGCGCAGCATTTATTCCAGTCAACGCAACGACACGCACAACAGAAGTGAAACGATGACATCTATAGCTGTAGCTTACTGCATATTACAGGGAATTCCGTTTTGTTCTGTTGATTAAATGGGGGTATACGTATTTTTTGTTAATCTCAAAATAGTAATAATAATAAGAAAAATAAAAGATATAGATCCTACCAGTTGTTTCAGCATAGTTTCCATTCATTGCCTGTATAGAAGCAACCTTAACAATTTCCCAGACAAGGGTAACTTGACAAATTTACGGTCTGTTAAATATGTTGAAGATTTATAGAATCGTGAAGCAGCTTTCCTTTTAACCAATATCTGCATTTTACGTCATTTTATTCACGTCATTATATATAATGATTAGCACGTACTGTACTTCCATCCATCTGCCATAACTGCTTATCCAGTTGAGAAGGTCGCCTGGAGCCTATCCCAGAGAGACCAAGACAGGGGACAACTTCGGTTTAGGAGATGTTCATCATAATTCGACTTTGTGACAAATAACGTTACTGTTTAACTTAACTGTTTAACTGTTTAATTTAGACAGACTGGGACATACTTGAACATCAAGAGCTGGAAACATTCACAGGAACGGTACTGGACTATATGAAGTTCTGTATCGGAAATGTGACTGTAGACAAAAACATACGGGTCTTCCCAAACCAAAAGCCCCCTCCTGTACTGTCTCTATATCCACGACTGTAATCCGGCCCACAGCAACAACCTCATAGTCAAGTTTGCTGACGACACCACAGTGATCGGACTCATCTCAAATGGAGACGAGGCAGCTTACAGAGAGGAGGTTCTGAAGTTGGCTGCCTCGTGTTCAAAGAACAATCTGTCTCTGAACACCAGGAACACCAAGGAGATCATAGTCGACTTCAGGAGGCACAGCACCGACGTAGCCCCCCTCTACATCAACGGCGAGTGTGTGGAGAGGGTCCACACCTTCCGGTTTCTCGGTATCCTTATCTCCGCTGACATCTCCTGGACAGACAACATCACAGCAGTTACCAAGAAGGCACAGCAGCAGTTACACTTCCTGAGGGTCCTCAGGAAGCACAACCTGGACTCCAACCTGCTACTGACCTTCTACCGCTCGTCCATCGAGAGCCTGCTGACATACTGTATCACAGTGTGGTATCACAGTGTGGTATCACAGTGTGGCATCACAGTGTGGTATCACAGTATGGTATCACAGTATGGTACGGCAGCTGCACCACAGCAGACAGGGAGAGGCTTCAGAGAGGAGTAAAGGCAGCACAGAAGATCATCGGCTGCCCTCTCCCCTCCCTGATGGATATTTACACCTCCCGCTGCCTCAGCAGAGCAAAAAACATCACCGAGGACAGCTCCCACCCTCAGGGAGGCGCTACAGGTGCATCACAGCAAGGACAAACAGACTCAAGAACAGTTTTTTCCCAAAAGCCACAGCCACCCTAAACGTACACATGCACTGACTACACAGTCTAACCCCCAACCCCTGGACTTCCTTCTATCAACTGTGCAATATCCATTACCTAGATGGTATTGATAACTGTGCAATACCATATACTGTGCAATATCACATGATCATTATTACCCTGCATATCACATTGTATATTCATATATTTAAAACCCTATTCAGTTATTTATTCCAAATGTATATAGCGCTACAGAACTTTTGCACTATTTGTTTGTTTGTCGTGTGTACATGTTTACACTGAAGGTGCTGCTCTTAATCTCATTATACATGGGTATAGTGACAATAAAAGGTATTAATTCATTCATAACCACCAGATGGCAACAGTCACACGCTGTGCGATAACGTGTTTTTCAATTTGCCCTTTTTCTCCTTGCACGGCCACCGTAGTTAGAGTTCGTAGTCCGCATCCCTGCTGACAAAGAAGTTGACAGGGGAACGCGCAACGGCGGATCGTATCTAGCTAGCTGTCGAAATGCCGCTAGAAAACCTAGAAGAAGAGGGCTTGCCCAAAAATCCGGATTTAAGGATAGCGCAACTGAAATTTCTTCTTACGCTAGACGACCAGAAGCAAGATGAGAAAGTTGTATCGGAACTCATGGAGGCCATTAAGGCGAATAGTAAGTGGCTAGCGAGCTTAACGCATATCTGCATCGTCACTGAAGGCCGACGTTCATCCTCGGACTCGATTTCCTCGGAGTGACGGGCCTGTGCGAGGGTCTGAGCCTCAACATCCACGACCATAGCGCCGTAGATGTGTAAAGTAGTGCCCTACGCTGTACTTTCATGGGTCAGATTGATGCAGCTTTCTGTCTTAAAGACTCAAATTTAAGTGGACTATTAATTATTTGCAGTATTATTTGGAAAATACGATTATTTGTTGACGGTCCGTTGAATGAAGCACGTCTATGGCTAGCCATTAAAATTAACGAGGGTATACGGGCAGTCTGCTTACATAGTACATAAATACTTTAAATATATTAATTCTCACATTATTGACGTTAAAACGCACGCCAGTGTGGTATGCAATAAATGGGAAAAATGTACGAAACATGCCTTGAGATTTGACCATACGTTTTTCTTTTTAAGACATGGCTCCTTACTACGAGTCTCTGTGCAAGGAGCTGAAATGGCAAGTGGACGCGGAGCTGATCGGCAAGATGAAGAAGGAAAACGAGGAGGTGCTGAAGCGCCTGGACGACGTTCTGGAAGATGCCGAGAAGAACCTGGGCGAGAGTGAAATTAGAGATGCCATGATGGCCAAAGCCGAGTACCTGATCCGAATCGGGGATAAGGTATGGCTCTCACCAGCTGCCTCCTATACTTCATTTAATCATCTTTAACTCGGTAATCTAGAAAGGACGTCTGATTGTCAACCATCGTAGATTTGTGTGTGTGTGTGTAAAATGTACAGGAAGGGGCATTGACCGCGTTCAGGAAAACCTTTGACAAGACCGTGGCCCTGGGACACCGGCTGGATATTGTATTCTATCTGTTGAGGATAGGTTTGTTTTACATGGACAATGATCTCATAACGCGCAACACTGAGAAAGCAAAGAGGTGAGGTTCTTTTCCTCCGTCTCTCCCTTTCACTTGTATGCCTGTGGCTTGCGGACTTCTTGTCTGTCAGACGGCATGCTGCCTTCATTCAGACGGACTCTTAAATGAGCATGGGAGAGTTCTGCCAAGATGAAAAACTAACCCGCCCATCTCTTTCCTCTAGCCTCATCGAAGAAGGGGGTGACTGGGACAGAAGGAATCGGCTGAAGGTGTACCAGGGGCTCTACTGCGTCGCCATCAGGGACTTCAAGCAGGCAGCAGAGCTGTTCCTGGACACAGTGTCCACCTTCACGTCGTATGAGCTCATGGACTACAAGACGTTCGTCACGTACACAGTGTATGTGAGCATGATCGCGCTGAAGCGGCCCGACCTCAGGGAAAAGGTAAGCTCTCTGCTTGTAGATCGTCTGTGTGATCATATTTGACTAGACCTTTTAGACATTTTATGATGATTTTTGATCTATCATGAGGTCCATCTCTTCCTTTGTTGCTGGATCTCAGGTGATAAAAGGCTCAGAGATTCTGGAAGTCCTGCATGGATTGCCCGCTGTCCGCCAATACCTGTTTTCACTGTACGAGTGTCGCTACTCCGTGTTCTTCCAGTCACTGGGTGAGTCTATAGTCTCCAAGTCTGTTCTGCTGTCAGATGGCCTGTCCTGGGGAACCCGGTATTTAGTGCTCGGCGTTCTACGACTTTGAGTGTTTAGCAGAGCTGCTACATTCTCATTGGCCAGAAGGTGCTGTACTTGTCAGGCTGTTTTGCGCATTGTTTAGGACTTGTGTACACGAGTAATATCAGGTGCGTAGTCTTCTGAAGACTGTCTGCGTTTGCGTTTAGCTATGGTGGAGCAGGAGATGAAGAAGGACTGGCTGTTTGCGTCTCACTACCGTTACTATGTGAGGGAGATGCGGATCCTGGCGTACAGCCAGCTGCTGGAGTCCTACCGCTCGCTCACCCTCGGCTACATGGCGGAGGCCTTTGGCGTCAGCACAGAGTTCATCGACCAGTGAGTTTACCTCCAATAGGTTTTCCGGAGCTTGGTTCCTGCTGGCTGCACGGCCCGCGTTCCGTTATTCATTCTCTCTCCTCTGCTGCCACAGGGAATTATCACGATTCATCGCTGCAGGCCGGCTCCACTGCAAAATCGATAAAGTGAACGAAATCGTGGAAACGAACAGGTATGGACATGCTGGCCTGGAGGCTATGGACCCGACGGCTCTCAGACGAGGGCCAGCCGTTTATACTGCGGGGTCCGTTTGTCAGGGTCAACCTGCGCCACTGCGAAGCCAGCAGCTTCTGCTGAGAACCCTGGTTGTTATGACTTGTATTCAGTTCTTCATGCTCTCACAAACACTTGGCTTGACTGTGAATTACTGCCTTGACATTTTACATAGAACTACCCCTGTGTTATGCTGACATGGTTTCTTCCACAGGCCTGACAGTAAGAACTGGCAGTACCAAGAGACCATAAAAAAGGGAGACCTGCTGCTGAACAGAGTCCAGAAGCTTTCCAGAGTCATTAACATGTAGTTCATGCGTTACAGGGGAACCCTTTAAGTCTGGTGTAATGGTTACTTTTGTCAAGCTGATGTTGTACGAGAACAACTCAAACAGAACCGTTTTGCTTTTGTGTATATATTAAATTTTCAGTCAAACTTCAGTTCTTGTGCATTCAGTGATTTGCAGCCACACACAATGCACGTTATCCCTGATTTACTTTAATGAAGTTCTGTGTAGCTGTTTGTGCATTTTGCCTGGATCACGTGGCTCAGTACTGTGGGTTAATCATTGTATGCTACACCACACCCTCTACCCAGAATAAGACATGCCAGAGAAGAATTCGTTTTTTTTTTACTTTACTTATAAATAGGTGTATAAATTATTTTATTTACAGAAACTTGTTAAAAAACAAATATCTATACAATCTTAAATATTAAGGAGTCTGTCCTGCTTTTTCCCCATTAGTTACACAGCCACTGGATAGTCAAATGCATTGAATCTCATATGCAGAAGAGTACAGTCCTTAACAGTGAAGCTGCCCCCCGGCCCCTCACATTACACAGCTGTGGTGCCTCACCGTGCGAGATTTCACAGGGCAGCACTGGCAGAGCAGTGAGGGGGAGGTTCGGAACACGGCAGGTAAGGAAGTGAGCCACACTGCATAGCTGAGAAGCTGCTTTTCCGTGGCCTGGACATGAGCGGGTTCCAGTCTCACGCCGGGCCCAGAAACACTTCACAAGCGACACTAATTCAAATAGCGTATACACGTCTACTGTGCTCAGACACAATGAACTGAATGAAGTTTTTGTCCCCAAATGATAGACATCTTTTGAAGTATGCAGCCACCTTTACGGCGTTTAAAGGGGGGGGGGGGTCTTTGTCAGCAGGACCAAGCTGCTGTTCGGGAATAAAATAAGCTGCTAAATGCCATCAGACAGGTCTGTCTTTCTGAAGTCAAAATCAGGCACTTTTTCTCCCTCAGTGTTCGAGTTTAAAAATCTGCAAATAAAACTCAGTTACGCGTGTAAAATGTTAGTTTGGCAACAGTGGTAGAGCCCACATCCTCATTCTGACTCTGTCCCCTGAAGGCGAGGAGTGACACATTTCCCCATCCATCCCAAAGTCGTGCAAGCGCCCCCCCAGGAGACCATGACGAGGTGCCGACGGGGGTCGCGTTCACGGAATCACCGGCTGAGAACCAAGCTGCCGATGACAAACGCGGACCGCCATGCGTCACGCGTCGCCTCACCTTTTCAGACAGGGACGTAGGAGATGAGTCACTTGGCTGTTAGACATGTCACATTATTGGCTTGGCAGTGAACCACTTCAAATAATAAAAGTCTTATTTTAATTAATCATTTAGTAAATAAATAATGATGATCTCAAAATTGTACCAAAATCGTATGTAGGAAAAAACACCTGTGCAAAAATACATATTTAAATATGTACACTTAACAAAATATGTATTCTGAAATAGGGATACTTCAATATTTGTATAATACAAGGAAAAAAAAAAACATACAAAACACTTATGGTGACTGCCATCAATAGGGTCAGGAATAAGTGTTACAATATTAGCCATCGGCACGTGGAACCCTTTTCCACACACGGCTCTCTAAGACGCAAACCAAAAATACCCAGAATGCAAAGCACTGCACACCAATGGTGTGAGAACATGTCTGTGGCAGGTACGAAGACTTCAGAGAATTCGACCTGACCCGCAACTTGATGGGTGGGGTCGAGTCTGTTGATGAAGCCTTAAGGAGAGATGCTCACAGGAAACAAACGACAGCAGTAAATACCTGCCCACACACTTCACACAGTGCCGCTCTTGGGGGGCCGGGAGGGGCATTATCTATGTACACATAGTGGCATTTTGCTTTAGATCAATACTATTCACAGTATAGGGAGTCTCTCGGTTGACTGGCAGGTGGTCGGTGGCACTGGGGGAATATTATGTCATTTCCAGGTTGATCTGAAGTTGATCTGAAGTTGTTCTCCAGTCTGTCCATATGTTTATCCCATGGTTCGAAAATTTACGAATTACTGAACAAGGATTCTGCAATTAATTTGAACAATCTGTGTTAAAACAAGCCACAGAGCCTAATGAACAAGAAGAGAAATTAGGTAAATCTCCAGATTCTGTGTAAGGTAATCGGTATCAAGTACTTGCTGTGATGATTTAAAGTCCAAGGGGAAACAAGTCCAGGTTTTCACCCTGCGAGACCGACCTGTCAAGCAGGTGAGACCTCCTGTCCAGCAGATCAGGAGATGCTCTCCATTACTTAAGGCTGACGTGCTTCTCTCTCCCTCTTTCATCTTCACAGGGACAGACATAGTGTAAACTAAACGCAGAGAACTGCCGGCACTCAGTAACCTCCCTTGCATAAACCAGTGATGAAAGTTTCAACCAAATACACATTTGAATGGATCGACACATCAGGACAGGAATCCTGAAAAGAAAAGCAGGGTGTAGGCATCCTCAGCATCGACCCGCATCCCTCCGAGCATCCAGACCGTCCCTGTGTTACACGTCAAGCTAACCAGCATTGTGCTGCTGGGGAAAATATCTCTAAGATGAACCAGTGTATGGGGAATAAAAGTAGTTTGTGTCCATTTTGGAAGTGCACCCATCGTGAGGCTTTATTTTAGGCAGTCTGGGGTTTTACTCGCAGTAGTTAAGCAGAGTCTGACCTGACGAAAGCACAAACAGTGCACCTCCATCCACGACCGACTCGCCCCCTAGTGCTTGGATATAGGCACATCGCTGCGAGAACCAGCCCTTATCTGTACCGTAAGTCGAACATTGAATGGGCACAGGGACAACTCACAACTGTCTTCTAATGAAGCACTGCAAAGGCCTGACCCCATCCCCAGCAGGGGGCGCCGCTCCAAACAGGATACCAGTGACTGTCCATTTTCTCTCCACCCCTGAGGATCATGGGAAGCTGAAATTAACAGGTAAAAGGCCCTGTGCAGTTCAGAGTGCTGAAGCTGGCACCGTCCTGCTTACATCATGGGGTTCGGCCAGGCAGGAAGCGGGGCCCTTCGTCAGGGACGCGCCTTTGGCTGCAAGAGACAGCAGACAACTGTCAGCACTGCTGAGCGCCACAAACTCACATTTTAACACTTAACACTTGGCCCTCAGCTCCCAGCTCCTGCACTGACCGGGGATTAATGCAGACTAGCTCACACACCTTCTCCATTCAATAAATCCACTTTGATGCAGGCTGTAAGGAAGCTGTAAAACGTCGAGCGACCATTAGGTGTTGCTGTGGAGCCCCCTGCCAAATTTACACTCTCTGTTGCTGCCTGGCCAAACGGCACAGTTGGGTTGAGCCCTGACACTTTCTGACCATTGTTAGATCAGCAATCAGTGGTTTATAACACATGCCAGCAAATGTTCCGGTTTGTGATCACAGCAGGCTGGAGGGCAGAGACCGAGCCGCCGGCCCACGCGCACCCTTTCCGTACCTGTTGTATGAGCGAGCTGTTCGCCAGGCCCTGCGTCCCTGGGATACCACGGCCATGTTTGCCATGGATGTTGTTGATGGACAGCGACTTGGCCACCTTGGGTCTCCCTGGGCTGCCGTGGATACCTCCCACGCTGGGGGGGCCTTTCCGCTTCCTGCCCTCCGGCTGGCCGTCGGCGACGCCACGCGTGTGGCTGAAGCCCGTCTGCTGCTCGGAGGCCCCCTGGTGGACGAAGGGCCCGAGGGAGAGGGTGGAGTCACTGCTGTTCATCACCACGCTCATGCGTTTGATGGACTCTGCGGGGCTTCCCGACGTCGGGACCCTGCCAGGCTGCTCCTGCTTGAGACCGAGAGAGTTCGTCCTGCTGGGGGCACTGTTGAAACCCAGGCTGTGTATGCCGCTGTGCGAGGAAGAGGAGGAGGAGTAGCCAAGCGGCGGGTGGAAGGCGCTCCCTGAGCCACCCGAGGTCACGGCACAGTTCTTCTTGAAGGAGGAAGAGGGGGACGGCTCCGCGGGGTAGGGGGGATGCGAGGGCAGAGGCGAGCTGTTCTTCCTCTTCTTGGCCGAGCCCCCCCCGCCACCGGTGCTGTTACAGCCGCTGCCCAAGGACTCCTTGGACCTGAGGGACTTGCTGCTGGGTCTGGGCTTGGGTGGCCGACCGGGCACGGTCGAGAAGACCGAAGGCATCTGGGGCGACGAAGACACTTGTCTAGAAGGTGCGCTGTGGGCGGGGTGGTCCGCGGCGCTCGGGGGAGGCGTGCGGGCAGTTAGGGCTGTCCCATACGACGGCACGGATTTGTTGTCGAGTGACTGTGCGTAGAGGGGGGGGGACAGGCTGGTGGCCGGATAGGGGGTGTGAGACTGCAGCAGGGAGCTTGTGCTTGTCCTGTGCGCCATGGTGGATGGCGAGCTCTCCGGGGCTGGGGGGATTTTCCTAGGAGAGACGGGATGTGAGTAAATGATTCTCATTATTGCATACTTGCTTGGCCCACTGTTGTAGTGGAATATGTCCATGCAGGGAAGAAAACGAATGTGAAAACGTGTGAAAGTGGTAAAAGAAAAGCCTGCAATGAATCTGGAGATATACAAGTCCTCACTATGTCCAAACACAGCAATGCCCACACAAACAACCATATCCACATACAGTCACGCATCTATACAGCCCCGCCCACACACCTTGTCATGCCCATATATGACCCAAACCACACCCACTCACCTTGTCATGCCCATATATGACCCCAACCACACCCACTCACCTTGTCATGCCCATATATGACCCCGACCACACCCACTCACCTTGTCATGCCCATATATGACCCCAACCACACCCACTCACCTTGTCATGCCCATATATGACCCCGACCACACCCACTCACCTTGTCATGCCCATATATGACCCCAACCACACCCACTCACCTTGTCATGCCCATATATGACCCCGACCACACGCACACTAATGCAAATGGGCATCAGGCAGCCTGGAAATATCCCCAAGTCCCAGAGAAGCCACTCACTTCCAGAGGTGGGAGCTGACGTGTTTGTCCACCATGGTGCTGAAGGTGCTCCGAACTCGGTCCCATCGTCGGCCGAACACATAGCAGCCTCTCCCGAACAGTCGGCCATCAAAGGTGCAGTACTGCGGTGGGGAGGGGGGCACTGCATTTAGACACCCCCACGAGAACATGCCTCCCGAACCCCCAGTGACTCCTTACACTCAGTGGGATTATACACAAGCTACCATGACATCAAAGCTCTGGACAAAAATACTCTATGACAATTTACACACAAACAAACAAAATAAATCCTCAAATTTCAAATAATTTTGCTTTTAGAGAGCAGAGAACAACAGACATCAGAAGTCAACGCATCCCAACTGGCTGGCTGGGTACTGAGGGACAATGCAGGCCATAGGAGAAGCACACTCTCCTGAGACATTCAGCTAATGCTGTGGAGCTGCAAGATCGAGTAGCACAGGAGACACCGAGCAAGCCGGAGAGGGGCTCCCAAGGTGCTGGAGAAGGGCGGAAAGGTGTGGGGGCGGCGGGGGAACTCACAGCTGCCGGCCGGGGGTGGTAACCCGAATAGTGGCAGTCCAGTTTCTCCAAGCCCTCTTCCCGCTCCTCGTTCTCGCCCTCGTCACTGGAGAGGTGGGACACCCCGTCAGCAATGCAGGTGGGCTGATGCGGTGAGCCCTGGGTCAGCCTGGGGTCTCCCTGAGAGCTTCCAACAGTGTGTGAGGAGCCGCAGGTCAGCCTGCGGAGGGGAACGTGGTCAGAATGGGGAGGACCAGAGCCCCAGTGCCCGGCCAGGCAGGGGTGGTCCAGGCAGGGGGTTGTATCATAATGAAAGGCAGGAACAGCAGTGGTAACTGTTATTGCTGGAAAGGCCCTGAATACACGTGCAGGATCAGTTCATATGAGTACAGAGTCAGTGGTCATGTGACCCCAGGAATATGAAGCATTCTGAGATGGGGTGTTAGTTAATAATCAGTTAACTTCTCTTGGTTATAACTAACTTATTACACACAACTGGGGCAGGATGGTGGTTCGGAACGGCTTCACCTCCAGGGTACGGGTTAAGCTTTGGGCTGGGCAGGGATTAAGGTTATCACAGTTGGCAATAGAGTTACGCCCACAGAAATTAATGGAAAGTCCCCAAAAAGATCTGCTCTGACTCCGTCTGTGTGTGTCTGTGTCTTTGACTCCGCCTGTGTGCGTCCGTCTCTGTGTCTGTCTATGTATGCCTGTGCATCTCTGTGTTTGTCTGCCAGTACGTGTCTGTGTACGCACACGCCCTGTGAGACACTAGCTCCCCACTGGGCTCATGGGGCGTTTCGCCTTACGCCAGATGACCCTCTGACTCAGTAAGGAATAAAAGCCATTAGATCGACAGCTGCTTCATGCATATGTACAGTTTTGACACTTTGCGACAACTGTTGTTAGGTTATGGTCCAGTGACGCTGCCTTTTTAAACATGTGCTGCTAGGTCGTTTTGCAGTATCTGAGGATCTGTTCATCCTCGTCCTTTTGTCTGACACTGCAGCTGACACAGACATCAGACCTGGCCTTCACGAGAGCCAGCCGGGCCGGTTCACAGGAGCAGAACCACGCGAGCGCAGAACCATGCTCATGGCGACTCACCGCGGAAGACTGGGGTTGGGGGCTTTGGGCTCGCCGGCGCTCGGGGGAGCGGGGTGGTGCTCCAGGCCGGGTCGGGCGGGGGAGGGGTGAGGGTCCCTGAGGAGGGGGGTCTGCTGGGGGAGCTCTGAGCCACGCTGCAGCTCCCGGTCCCGGGCCCGGCTCTTATGCTCGGCCAGCAGGGCGTCGAATCGCTTCCTCCTTCCCGGCACGGCCCTCCGCTGGCTTAAGGAATGTGTCTGTGGAGAAGACACCCCCCCTCAGCCTCACTCTCATGACGCACAGCGGCTGAGATGCCCCCACTTCCTCGGCAGAGGGCAGCCCCAGCTGGAGACTGCAGCGAAACGCTGAGGGACCCACCTTGCATGTGAGAGACCTTGTGCATGGCTTTCGTGCTACTAGGTCCAGGACTCCACAGTGGACATCTGGATTGAACTCTGCTGGGTAGGAAAACAGGAAGACGAGTCAAAGGCAGCCAGTGTGGGTGGGCACTACACCCTACAGCAGACAGAGGGAAGGAACAGGGCACTTTGTGCTATAAACTGCTTCATCCCAGGCACGTACGTCAAGGTGAACAGAATATGTCATTCTGGGAAGTGGCTTTGGTCTTAGCCATGGTGTTTAACAGCACTCGAACCATATATTTTGGGGGGGGGGGAAGGGGGGACAACCCTGCTGGCTGCAATCAGTCATTGCACCAGGTGGGAAGGTGCCAAAGCCATAAAAAGAACCCAAAAATGACAAGCTGATGGAGTGTGCTCACCAGGTAACCTCCTGTGCAGCTGTCTGCGGTTAGTGTCCTGCTTCCTGTCGGCATAAAGGCCCTGGCCATTTAGCACTGGGCCCGGGCACGACAGGGGCGCCTTTGGTATGGAGGGGTAGTTAAGGCTGAGCTTCGTGGGGGGGCTCACAGTGGCAGACGACGTGGAGCTGTGGGAGAGCTTCGGCGATGGCTCTGGCTTCTCCACTTTTGCGGCTGAAGTCAACCTGTAGGGGGCGATGGTCGGGGGGGGGGGCAGACACCGTTCATTGACCAGATAACTCCATCCTTGACAATCCAATGGCGTTTCCTCCAACCAGTAAACATGTGGTGTTTCTCACTACCAAGCACACAAAGACCGTCCTGCTAACTTGCCTCCCAAGAACAAACTTGGGGCGCAATGAATCATGGGATTGTTCTCGCTTGGCAAGGATGCCAGTGACGCATCCTAGGGATTTGGGGTGAGGCATCCGAGGATTTGGGGTGAGGCATCCGAGGATTTTTACCATTGTCTGTACTTCTGTATTACAACTGGTCTTTGGCAACGTACAAGGGGTACACGAGAACCCAAGTATGGGCAAGTACACACATTGAGAAACACCCATGTTTCTTCTAAGAATATTCTCTAACAAGGGTGTCAAACTCCAGTCCGGGGGGCCGGAGCCCTGCACAGATTTTGGTTTACCTTCATTTAACACACCTGATTCAAATCACCACAGAGCTCATAAGCTAAATCATCTGTGGTGGAACAGGGAAAGAGCTAAGCTACACAGGGCTCCGGCCCCCCAGGACTGGAGTTTGACACCCTGCTTCTAGAACGTTCATGAGTCAATGATCAGCCGACACATTATGTTCCACGTATGGTGTGCAGACACCTGGTGAGGGAGCACGTTAGAACATAAGAACATAAGAACTATACAAACGTTGGCTGCTTACGTTTTGTCAGGAAGCACCTTAAATGGAAACGGCGGCCCCCTATGCACCGGCATCTTCTCTTTGGCCACCTTGACGACTTTGGGTGGAGGCAGGGCAGCTCCGTTCCCAGAGGCAGGACGTCCACTGCCCCCCCATCCCATCCCCGTGCCGGTCTTCGGCAGGCCAGACAGCGGATAGGTCATCACGGGCACTAAGGGGGGCTTACTGGCCGAGCTGTGTCTTCTCTCTGTGGAGACAGCAAATGCTCATGACAGTCGCTCCTCAGATGACAGATCTTTCCAACCCATTCTGCTCCCTCACTTACATCTGCAGCACTCGTAGCAACCAAACAACCTTAGGAGACATAAAACCCTACATTTGTTTCATGACAAAACAAGCATCTTCATTACATTCTATTGCATTACATTATGGAATAATCTCTCTAATCTCTCCAATCTCCCAAAAGCACGTTTGAACTCATTTTATCACGTTAGCCTGATTTGGAATGGCTCATGTTTATTATAATGTTAGCACATTTATTGCAAGATAGCATATTCCAGAAAAGTGCTCCTCAAACTTACAGCAAAACAAGTTCTCCTATCAATTAGCATAATCTGTAATGTTCCAAAACAATGTATTTACTGCATGATAGTTTTCGAAACTGAGCTATGTGGATACGTACCTTTAAAACTGAACATACATCAGGAAAAGGAACAACTGAAACTAATATTAACTTCCTGGTTCTGCACATAAAGACACACAACATGAGGCCTCGGTGTAAGCTGGACCCTTCTGTATAAAGATCAGACTGATTTCAGCCTGGTGTGTGATGGTCCCTCCCCCCACCACATCTACAGAGTCATTTAATGAGTCAGTGATTGAGTCATACCACCTCTAAAGGCAGGCCGGAACTTTTTGCAGGGACCGGAACCAGGCACTTTTGTCATGTTCACACTGCAGGAACTCGGCCCGATTACAGTTCCTTGGAGGCAGTACCCACTCCAGAATTCTTTCAAACACAAACTACTGGGAGGCACTTATAGCAAAAACTTGCCGATTTGTCAACCACAAGCATCAGCAATAACTTGGAAGCTACACAGAAGTGTAGAAAAAGGGACGTAGCAGAACAAAAATTGAGCAGAAAATTATTTTTGTACCCCAATTATACTTAATGCATCAATTAATACATTTTTGCTTGTCTCCATATTTCTGCATCAGAAAATCTGATTGCTAACCAATATACTTTTGTGTAATATTGCCAGCGGTGAAACTTGCCAGTGCCACACACACACACACACACACACACACACACACACGTCGGGCATACCTATACTCATGGGGTCTGCTCATTCACTTCTATGGGAAAAATGCTAACGCTAATTACAGTATGACAACCTTAACCCCCACCCTGCCCTAACCATAACCATAATCATAACCATAAGTAACCAAGCAAAATACAAGAGTTTTTGCATTAGGATAGGTATACCAACTCGCACACACACACGCGCGCATGCACGCATACACAAACACACACACACGCACGCACACACGCACAAAAACGCGCGCGCGCGCGCACACACGCGCACACACACACACACACACACACACACACACACACACACACACACACACACACACACACACAGTCTGGAGGCCTACCTTTCTAACGAACAATTTCTTAAAAGGAGAAATCAAAGGTGACAAAGCTAAGGAGTCTAACCACCCCCCCTCACCCCCAACACGGCCACCGTGCTCTTTGTTTGCGTGTGGCTGCCCCCCCGCCTGCTCGGTGTACCCCCATCCAGCTCCTAAAGACCGTCAGCAAACCAGTGGAAGAAAATGTAAAAATGAGCAGGAAGACAGTGGAGGCGAGATTCCGGAAGAGTCCGGCGGTTCGCAGGCACATTTACCAGATCAGGCCCCGGGAGGGTGGCGGGGAGCTCCTCCGGCGGCTTTGCACAGGGCTGCCATCCAAACAGGCCGTGTTATTTAAAAAAGGGGGGGGGGCTCAGCAGCACGAGAGAAAGGAAAACAGTGCCGAGGTCTAACCGCCAATCTGCGGCGGCGATGCCAGCCCTCCGAAAAGACGGCACAGCTCTGGGCGTCCGGCCAAAAGCTGCTGCTTGGGGAGGAACTGTGGCTGTACATGGCCCCCGCCCACGGCGCAGCGTCTCTGAAAGCCCCCCTCCCCACGTCTAGCACCCACCTCGCCCCCCCCCCTGCTTGCTAAGGCTTGGAAGGTGCACACAGCTCCCAGTTCACCAGGCACCCCATGCCCCCCACCTCTGAAGGGACTGGCTTTAGGAATTTGTCCAGCAGGTTACTCATAAAATAGAGAATGCAATTTGCGATAGTTTTTAAGGGAAATGTGAGATCAGAGCTGGTGCATTATTCAGAGACGGTACCTGCAACACTGTGGGTCACCACTGAGGGATAGCACACAACTCACATGCCACACAAAGCTACCACTTACCCTGACCCTAACCCTAACCTAAACCCCGACCCTAGTACAGGGTCATCATGAGGCCTGCAGCCTGTGCAGACAGCAAAGTGCAGAAGGCCCAGGACATTCATACACTTCAGGGTGGCCATTTTCACTGAAGCAGCTGGAGGAAACCCACAAGGCACCGGGAGATCTCACACACACGCGCACGCACACACACGCACACCTCGACCCTCAACCCCAGATTCTGCTAGTTTAATGACTGACAGAGACATGAAGGCGTGGAAAGGTGATAGGATAGAAATGTAATGGAAGCAGACAGCACACGGCTATCACTCATGCATTATTTAATGGCACTCAGGAACGGGCACCTCTGGAGAAAATTCCATTGCTAAAAATTAATTTAATCAGGGTGTTACACATGGCGACCACCCAACAGGACCACAAGCATCTCACCCCCCTGCAATTAACCAAAGACTTCTCCTTGCAAATTGACACAGCCATGGTCGTGCCACTCAAAGACAAATATTAACCATGGAAAAAAGTACTTCATTAAAGACACTCACTGTACTTCATTAAATGTAATGCGTGTGTTTCATTAGCAAGTAACAGCGAGTTAAATCGTTGGCTTCCCTGTCTGTGCTGCTGCTCGTCTTAGACCAAGAGCAATGGCACCACATCAGTGCCAACACTAGAGGGCGCTAAAATGCAAGGTGCACAATTTAAACCTGGGTGTTTTAACATTTTGTGCGTGTAAATATCCCACTTCTGAGCGCAAATATGAAACTCACAAGCACAGAAAAAAAATTGCGTGAGCGTGTGTCACAATATCATGCTTTTTTCCTTTTCAGATGTTTTTTTCCATCTCAAATTGACAGACATCCTCAATTGGATTACCTTTGGCTGCTTTTGTACACGCTTGTCGGTGAATGCTATTGGCTGATGGCTCCTGGTTTTGTGATTCACAGATTGTTTGCACTGATATGTTTGATTTCTTTTTGTCCAGACGGCGTTTGAAGTATACAGGTAGCATCAGGGTGGGAGTCTAAGCCCCTCATCCCATCCCACCTGGGGTTTGCCCTGCTCACTGTAATGCTGTAGAGAGGTGTCTGTGCAAGATGGATGTTTCATCACATTCACACTAATTCAGAATTGACGTTAGCAGTGTGACAAACGGAACCTTTTACCTCCCCCTGGTGGCTATTATAAATACAGAAAACATGAAGGTTATAGGAGGTTACAACTATTGATCTGGCAGACACCTGGGAAAATGCCCCATGCAGACGGGTAGGCCTCATCCAGACAGGCCCCATGCAGGCAGGCAGGCCTCATCTAGGCAGGCAGGCCACATGCAGGCAGGCAGGCAGGCCTCATCCAGGCCTCATCCAGGCAGGCAGGCCTCATCCAGGCAGGCCCCATGCAGGTGGGCAGGCCTCATCTAGGCAGACCCCATGCAGGCGGGCAGGCCTCATCCAGGCAGCTCCCATGCAGGTGGGCAGGCCTCATCCAGGCAGGCCTCAACCAGGCGGGCAGGCTTCATCCAGGCAGGCAAGTCCCATCCAGGCAGGCCTCATCCAGGCAGACAGGCCTCATCCAGGCAAGCAGGCCTCATGTCTCTCTCTAGCT